TTAAATTGTGTATTGCTGGGTGGTGGTAGCCCACGACTTTAATCCCAGAACTTGGTACAGAGTGAGTTCCAGGACAGCCAGAGCTGTCACACAGAGAAACCTTGTTGTGAAAGATCAATTGTGGCCGGGCGGCGGTGGTGGTGGTGGTGGTGGTGGTGGTGGTGGTGGTGGTGGTGGTGGTGCACGCCTTTAATCCCAGCACTCAGGAGGCAGAGCCAGGAGGATCTCTGTGAGTTCAAGGCCAGCCTGGTCTACAGAGCAAGATCCAGGACAGGCTTCAAAGCTACGCAGAGAAACCCTGCCTCGAAAAACCATTGTGTGGGGAGCTGGAGAGATGGTTCAGAGGTTAAGAGCACGGGCTGCTCTTCCAGAGGTCCTGAGTTCGATTCCCAGCAACCACATGGTGGCTCACAACCATCTGTAATGAGATCTGGTGCCCTCTTCTGGCCTGCAGGCATACATGCAGGCAGAACACTGTATTCATAATAAATAAATAAACCTTTAAAAAAAAAAGTTACTTCCCCATTAGAATAGTCATTTTCAAGCATTTTGCACTGCTGGCTCATTCCCTTAACATGTTAGCAATCTTTTCATTGTACCCATAGATTAAAAAAAAATCACCTGGTGGTTCTATTGGATAATAGTTTGCCTAACTCAATAATACTCATGTCCTAGTAAATTGGTAGTTTTACTTAAAAACATATACATTGAAGAGAAAGTAATACATTCATTTTATTCTTAGCCTTAATAACTTAGCAATGGGATGTGTGTGCTAGTTAGACATCATGCAACTTAGATCTTAAGTCTTCACATCATTTCCTGTTCCAGCCCATTTCCCAAGTAGCACTTCCTATTGTTAAATCAATGGCTAAACCCAGCTTTATAAACTAAGGTGAACTGTAGTTCTCATGCAGTCTGACATGTGTCGCTGTGCTTTCCCAAAGAAAGTAAATGTCCTGTGGCGTCCGTATGGGTTCCCATTTTGATTTGGGGCCCTCTCCGCACAGTTTGGGAGCTGTGGTTCAAGAACCAGGCACAACGTACACTGTGTGTGTAGCGCCTCCATGAACTGAGTTAGGTCTAATTGCACTTACAGATCAACAGAGAGTGATTTCACAGCTGAAGGTCACAGACAGCATTTATAAAGAACACAAGTTTCTTTCCTTCTCTTTTTATTTGCTTTTGAGACAGGGTCTCACTACATACCTCAGGCTGGCCACAAACTCACAATTTGTTTTAGTCTTCCAAATGCTGGGACTGTAGATGTCTGCCGCTATTTACTGGCTAGAATACAGATTTCTTTAATGAGTCTGCAGCACTAGGAGAATTATCATTATCACAATGTCAGGCTTAAATATGTTGTTTGTTGAACCAAACAACACTGGTTGGATACAGTCTTAACTACCATATTCACCCGCTTCACTAACTGAATTGAGTTTGCTTGAGTTGCAACAAGAGCAGGGGTTAGAGGTGTCTGCTTGAACTTGCATGTTTTCCTGAGCATCGTGTACATGATGCTCACTAGATCCTCAAAGCGGTCTTTAACTAAAGCAACAGAATTTTTTTCTACAGAATTCAATAAAATGTGATTTTTAAAGTTAGTCATACATGTCACTACTAACCCCGAGGATTACATTTGCCAAAGTTGATCCTGTTCCTACAACATGGTTTTAACTTACTGTGTCAGGATAAAGAAGAATGGGGGTCACTGGTTTTTGTTTTTTGTTTTTTTTTCTTCATTGTTATTATATTTATTTTTCATGTTTTATAAAGATTTTTCTCCTCACTAGAAATACTTTAGAATTTTGTGAAGTCACTTGAAAATGAGCAAAAGGATTTTTTCATCTCCTATGTTACAAGCAATCCTGATTTTCCTAGCCCTAGCCTTAAACAGAAATTTCGTCAGAAAACAACATTTTCCAAAATCCATATCCTTGGTTAATTTATCATCTGCCTATCAGATCCTGGATAAATTGATGGCACTTAATATTCTCTCATTCTTGGATGGAGACTGAGAATCTTAATATGAAAAAACACACCAGATGCTTGAAGCTGTTAACTATGGGATCTCAGACTGCAAAATTAAAAAAAAAAAACACAACTTGTAATTTATTACAAAATATTCAGTGTCTACCATTCTATAGACCTAATATCTAAATGATTGCATTAATGGATGCAGTAGTCAAGGATTAAATAACTGCTGTTAATAATAGTGATAGCAGCAGAGTGTGGCTAACTTCCTTGCTCACTGTTCTCAGCAATGACATTTTTTATCTTGCGTTTCTGTCTAGCTTTTCTGTTATGCCACGTTCTCTCCATCCTTGCTTTCCCAGCTGAGAACAGTACCTCTGCTCCTTAACTCCTGTAAACTTCTGTTTCTTAAGAGAAAATATAAGGAGTCTCCCCCATTCCTCCTTAACTCTACAGGCCACTTTTTAAAATAGTCCCTTGGTCTGGGGAGATGGCTTAGTGTGTAAGAGCACTTGCTGCCCAAGAACAAGGACCTGAATGGAGATCCCCTGCATCCATGTGAAAGCCACATATGACTTCATGTGCCCCCAGCACTCCGGGGGCAGAGAGAAGTAGATTCCAGGAGCTCACTGACCACCCAGCCTAGCAAAATGTCAAGCATCAGATTCAGTGAGACACTTTCACAAGGGAGTAAGGCAGAGGGTGATAGGGCCGATCCCCTGGCATCGTCCTCTGACCTCCACACCCACGTATACATGTATACACACACAAAGACACAGACAGACAGACACACACACACACACACACACACACACACACACACACACACACCAAAAAATAACTTTGTTGTCAGTCTCAATTTTAGACTTTTGTGTCATTTCTCTTACATTGATATTCCATATATGTCCAGTAGTCAAGGAAGTTCATATTTCAAAAAACATATAAAACTAGAGTGCTTTAATACCTACTGTTATATACTCAGCATAACATTTTCATATATGTGTACAACTACATAGATACAGGTATAAACCATTGCATTTTATGTACATATATCCACATAGATACAGGTATAGGCCATCGTATTTTGCTCCTATTTCCTAGGCCCCTCACTGATAGCCTTACTCCAGAATTTACTTTAGTTATGTATTTGAGAAGTTCCTTGTCTCCTGTCCTACTGTCCATCTTAGATCAAGACCCTTCTTAACACATTTTCCTACCACTGTTTTCTTCTCCCAATCTACTTAACACACTTTGCCGTTTATTCTGAATCAGAAAGCTCCACTGAGTTGTTTGTATTTTAAGTGTCCTCTCAGGCTTCCATTACCTAAGGAAGCCCTACCACCCCTGGCCAGTTCCCTGCAGGCTCTGTCCCTGCATTTTCCTCTCAGAGATCTATATCCCCAGTCTTCACCTTGCATTATCTTCTCTGCCCTGCATGTGGTCATGTCATACCTGATACCTGATAGTGTAGTTATATATACTTGTCCTACCAATCTGCTCCCTTATAAGCCTTCTCCATGCAGTAAATTCCATCCATGCATCCATGCATCCATTCATCCACCCATCCACCCATCCATCCATCCATCCATCCATCC